ATGTGTGTGTGTGTGTGTGTGTGTGTGTGTGTGTGTGTGTGTGTGTGTGTGTGTGTGTGTGTGTGTGTGTGTGTGTGTGTGTTGATATAGATATATGTGTATATATGTATATATGTGTGTGCGTGTGTGTGTGTGTTTATATACAGGTATATATATACATATATATGTATATATATGTATATTTATAGATACATAGATATATATGTATATATGTATATATATACATACACACAAACACACACACACATACATTTATATGTATATATATATGTGTGTGTATATATATGTGTGTGTGTGTGTGTGTGCATATGTAAATATAAATATATATATGTACATATATAAATATATACATATATATATATATATATATATATATATATATATATATATATTTATATAAATATAAATATATATATATATATAAATACATATATAAATATAGATATATGTAAATATAAATATAAATAGATATATATATATAAATATAAATATATATAGATATATATGTAATGTATATATATATATATGTATAAATATTTAATATAAACATAATTATATATAAATATATATAAATATATGTAAGTGTATATATAGATATATTAATAAATATATATATATATATATATAAACATACACACACATTCCTCCCTCCTCTCCTCCTCCACCCTCCCTCCTTCCCTCCACTCCCCCTCCCCCCTCCCTTTCTTAAACCCCTACACTATTCTCTTTCCTTCCCTCCTTTCCCTTGTCCCTCCACTCCTCCCTCCATCCTTCTTTCCCTTCTTCCCTCCCTCCGTTACCCTTCTCATTCTCTCCTCCTTTCCCACTTCCTTCCCTCCCTTCCTTCCCCCCTCTTTCTCTCCCCCTCTCCCTCCATCCACCGATCCATTCACCTATCTGTCTATCCATCCATTCATCTATCCCCCCATCCCCCCTTCCCTCCCTCCACCCTTTATTTATCCCTTCTCCCTACCTCCGCCCTTTCCCCCTCCCTTCCTTCTCTCCCTCCCTCCCTCCTCCCTACCTCCGCCCTTTCCCCTTCCTTCCTTCCCTCCCTCCCTCCCTCCCTCCACACTTCCTCCATTTACTTAATCCATCCTTCTTCCACCCTTTATCCATCCTTCCCTCTTCCACCCTTTATCCATCCTTCCCTCTTCCACCCTTTATCCATCCTTCCCTCTTCCACCCTTTATCCATCCTTCCCTCTTCCACCCTTTATCCATCCTTCCCTCTTCCACCCTTTATCCATCCTTCCCTCTTCCACCCTTTATCCATCCTTCCCTCTTCCACCCTTTATCCATCCTTCCCTCTTCCACCCTTTATCCATGCTTCCCTCTTCACCCTTTATCCCTCCTCTTCACCCTTTATCCATGCTTCCCTTCCACCTATCCATCCTTCCTCTTCCACCCTTTATCCATCCTTCCCTCTTCCACCCTTTTTCCATCCTTCCCTCTTCCACCCTTTATCCATCCTTCCCTCTTCCACCCTTTATCCATCCTTCCCTCTTCCACCCTTTTTCCATCCTTCCCTCTTCCACCCTTTTTCCATCCTTCCCTCTTCCACCCTTTATCCATGCTTCCCTCTCTTCCCCTTTTACTTATTCTTCCCTCATCCGGTAACTAATCTAAATTCTTCGCGAGAGGAACAGACAGACGAGGAAATGGAATGTAACGGAAATCACAAATAAAGAGAAGGAGAGAAGAAGAGAAGAGAGGAAGTGGTGTGTGTATATGTATATATGTATTTGTATATATAATACACACACACACACATGTATATATATCTGTGTGTGTGTGTGCGTGTGTAGTGTATGTATGTATACATATGTGTATATGTATAGGTATATATAAAGAGAGAGGGAACTTGGAGAAAATGAAGGTACGCTAAAAAGTAGGTCAAGTAAAATATGTACGGAACTAAATGAAAATAAATTTACATTAGAAAAAAAAAACGAGACGGAATTCGTACGAAAAAAAAAAATCGGAAATCAGGAACAACGAGGAAAGTTGAAACAAAAACCGAAAGCAGGACGAAGGGGGAATACATATAAATAAGAAAGATAATATAAACAAACCCATTAAGAGAGAGTTTGAATTGTCAAGAGAAGAAGCTATGATCTTTCTATGATGAAGACAAATAAACTTACGCAGCCTCTGAATTTAGAAGCGTTGAAGTCTCGAGGTCATCTGGACGGCAGGAGAAGACACGCACGTGCACACATATACGTGTGTGTGTTTATATGTATATGTATGTTATATACATATACACTACATACATACTTACATACACACACATACATATACAGCTGTGTGTATCTGTCTATCTACATAATATGTATATATACATACATGTATATATAAATATATATATAGTATATATACATATACATATATATGTGTGTGTGTGTGTGTGTACACATGTATATATACATATACACATACACATGTATATATACATGTATATATATATATATATATATATATATATATATATATATATATATATATATATATACATACACACATGTGTACGAAAAAAAAAATCGGAAATCAGGAACAACGAGGAAAGTTGAAACAAAAACCGAAAGCAGGACGAAGGGGGAATACATATAAATAAGAAAGATAATATAAACAAACCCATTAAGAGAGAGTTTGAATTGTCAAGAGAAGAAGCTATGATCTTTCCCTGATGAAGACAAATAAACTTACGCAGCCTCTGAATTTAGAAGCGTTGAAGTCTCGAGGTCATCTGGACGGCAGAGAAGACACGCACGTGCACACATATACGTGTGTGTGTTTATATACACATGTATATATACATATACACATACACACACATACATATACAGCTGTGTGTATCTGTCTATCTACATAATATGTATATATACATATACACATACACACACATACATATACAGCTGTGTGTATCTGTCTATCTACATAATATGTATATATACATATACACATACACACACATACATATACAGCTGTGTGTATCTGTCTATCTACATAATATGTATATATACATATACACATACACACACATACATATACAGCTGTGTGTATCTGTCTATCTACATAATATGTATATATACATATACACATACACACACATGTATATATACATATACACATACACACACATACATATACAGCTGTGTGTATCTGTCTATCTACATAATATGTATATATACATATACACATACACACACATACATATACAGCTGTGTGTATCTGTCTATCTACATAATATGTATATATACATATACACATACACACACATACATATACAGCTGTGTGTATCTGTCTATCTACATAATATGTATATATACATATACACATACACACACATACATATACAGCTGTGTGTATCTGTCTATCTACATAATATGTATATATACATATACACATACACACACATACATATACAGCTGTGTGTATCTGTCTATCTACATAATATGTATATATACATATACACATACACACACATACATATACAGCTGTGTGTATCTGTCTATCTACATAATATGTATATATACATATACACATACACACACATGTATATATACATATACACATACACACACATGTATATATATCTGTGTGTGTGTGTGCGTGTGTAGTGTATGTATGTATACATATGTGTATATGTATATATGTATTTGTATATATAATACACACACACACACATGTATATATATCTGTGTGTGTGTGTGCGTGTGTAGTGTATGTATGTATACATATGTGTATATGTATAGGTATATATAAAGAGAGAGGGAACTTGGAGAAAATGAAGGTACGCTAAAAAGTAGATCAAGTAAAATATGTACGGAACTAAATGAAAATAAATTTACATTAGAAAAAAAAAACGAGACGGAATTCGTACGAAAAAAAAAATCGGAAATCAGGAACAACGAGGAAAGTTGAAACAAAAACCGAAAGCAGGACGAAGGGGGAATACATATAAATAAGAAAGATAATATAAACAAACCCATTAAGAGAGAGTTTGAATTGTCAAGAGAAGAAGCTATGATCTTTCTATGATGAAGACAAATAAACTTACGCAGCCTCTGAATTTAGAAGCGTTGAAGTCTCGAGGTCATCTGGACGGAGGAGAAGACACGCACATGCACACATATACGTGTGTGTGTTTGTATGTATATGTATGTTATATATACATATACACTATACATACATACATACACACACATACATATACAGCTGTGTGTATCTGTCTATCTACATAATATGTATATATACATACATGTATATATAAATATATATATAGTATATATACACATACATATATGTGTGTGTGTGTGTGTGTTTATATACACATGTATATATACATATACACATACACACACATGTATATATGTATACATACACATGTGTGTATATATATACATACATATATATGTGTGTGTGTGTGTGCACGTGCATGTGCATATATATTTGTATACATATATGTAAATATAGCTGTCTGCTAATATATAGTACTGACTCACAGTCTCGCAAATTACCCTCCAGTTGGAGGAACCACAAACTGTTCCTTTTATTATATCAGGGAAATCAGACAACCAGAGAAAATCCCACAACGCGTATCATTCTCCTCTTCCTCTTCTTCCTCGTTTTCCTCCTCTTCCTCCTCTCCCTACTCCCCCTAAAGCTTAATTGCACTATTCACCTTGACAGAACCGCCCAAGGTTAAACTTCCATTATCTTGTTGTTGTTTATTTCTCTCTCTCTCTCTCTTTCGTCTAATCAATGTCATAAAAGAGATCTGATCATCGATGTGTTCAAGCGAAACATCCCAGGGAAATAGAGACAGAGAGACATTGATTTTTAAAAAAAAGGGGAGAATAGGGAAAATAGAAGATAATTTGGGTGAAGCGACACAGGCGAGCGAAGACATTGCGTATTGTATGGAACTGAGATTGCGTTACTTCCTGGAAGGGTGACTGTGCGTAGGAAAGGGGGGGAAGGGAGACAGGAAGTGAG